CCTTGCATAATTTTACTGTCGTGAAAGTACCGCTTCCCAGGTACGTCACAATATATATATATATATATCCATCTTTCCTTCTGTCTCATCCGCCTTTCTCCGCCTTTCTCTCCGTCCTTCTTTCTGTCCATTTGACAGTCCGTCTGTCTCTCTGTACCTTCGTCCGCCGGCCTCCTGCCTGGCTATTCGTCCGCTTTTCTGTTCGTCTGTCGGTCCGACTGGTATAAAGATCTGTTTCAGAAAGATGATTCAAATACTTCACTAAATATTCGGAATTTACATTATCAACATCTTTTATTTCTCATATGTAATTAGCATTGTTTTTCTGCTTTCAAAATGTACTAACACAAAGCTCCCCTTAATTATTAGTCATGTTTCATCACAATTTCATTGATATCCTTCAAAATTTCCTTTCCTATTTCGCCTTTATTGCTGCTATCCTACATTCCCGCAGGATCATAATTTCTAAAACACTTTCTGAATAACCCATAAAAACTGTTTTTGTAACATTGTGTGCCTCTTATTATATCTCCTCAAATTTATTCCTATATGTTGACAAGACAAGCATCTGCTTAGGAAGTTTATACGATAATTATCAAACATGTTCAAAGCACTCCTTCATTCCATATTGGTGAGCTACACTCACTGGTGAATGCAGGGGAGGGCCATTGGGGCCAGATTTAGACTATTGGAACGAGATTTATCCGCTTATTTACTTTCTCGCACTTACTTTGTAAGAAGAGGAAGTAAATATTATACTGAAAAACGGCAAATTTTCTGCGCACAAATTTATTGTTGGGCCCTAGTAACGGACTAATGAAGCTATAACAGCACTAGTAGGTAGTTAGGTCACTTGAGTTTCTGGGTATTACGTTCAGAGCAACTGGTGCGATATTTAAAAGGGAGTTTTGTACACTGCTTCGGGGATGGCGGTACATCAGTGGGTAGATGGCCCATGACAATCTTTCGGAGAAGTCATTTGACTATTATTGCCCCAAATGTAGCTACATGAATGCCCATTTCCTCCACTAAAGCAAATAAATTATCTATTAAAATGAAATAAACACTAAGCAGATTTTAAATTGACAATTGAGAATGTAATTAAACATTTTGAATCAAATGTGTCTTGATTTATTAATAATGTTTACTAAAAAGTGCAATAAATGTATTTGTTTCTTCCTACTTTAAGATTTCTAGGTTTGTCAATCAAAGATTTTTATCTGTTGAAAGAGCTGTCCACCCGTAAGATCGAATTGTTGAATTATAGACTCTTGTTAATTTATATCACATTGTTGGTACAAACTACAAATATCTTAATGATTCAATAACACAAAAACAAGGACGGAATTCGCCATTCAAACACATTCCCTCCCAATGGTAAAACCGATTATTTAAGGCCGAATTTAAAAATAAAATAAACATGAAATAAAATAAGAAATAAAAATTATAAATAATTGAAATCGTGGCCGTTCGATAAAACAAATATGTTTTCGTATGAAGCTGGAATTACCGCCTTTCACCGTTTCGGCCTGCATGTGTACACCCTTTATGGATTTGGATGGGAAATGAGATGGGAGTGAGGGGAAGTTGCCCGTTCTTGCAGGAACGGTGTGCTCTTCAGGAGGGCAAGTACCTTGTGCTGGCGTGGTTTGACGTGCCTGTGTTAGAGGAAGAAATTGACTGCATATAGGAAGATTTATCCACGTTTTCGCTACCAGGGCCCAGCAGTAAGAGTTTTTTAATATGAAATTCATTGTCTTCCGGCGCAGAATTACAATACTTTATCTTCTTAAGAAGTAAGAGCGAAAAAATAAAATGGACAAACACAAAATTGACCTGCTCTGTTACTATGCGGGCGAAAAGTCGGAAGAAATTTTCAAATAAGTGTCGAACGTAGAAGCAGGGGTACATGTATTTTTTGCTAATATTATTATTCGCCCAAGAAAAATATCATTTTGAAAGATTAATTTTAACTCAAGAGTACAAGCGGTGGGTGAACAGGTTGATGATTTCATAACTTCATTGCACACGTTAGCCGACCGTTGTGTTTACAGGACGTTAAGGGACTGGCTAATTTGAGACAGAATTGTGATCGGTGTTAATGATACCAAACTTTCGGAATGGTTGCTAATTAGCGATCTGAGGCTTGACAAAACAGTGGAAATGGCGCGACAAGCTGAGTGATTGGCGAGGCAAAGCGAAATTTTGCGAAGCGGCTCTGAAGATGCAAAGGTCAACAAGATGTATTCATGACAGTGGACTCCGCCGCCGCGGCGGTTTGAAACTTAGAGAGAAGACTCCCGTTACAAGAAGAACGTTGTGGTTGGTGCGGTTTGAAGAGTCATCGAGACACGAGA